GATGCTTTTAATGTGTTAAAATTTGACATGAAACTTGTTAACGCCTTATTTACGGCTATATCTACTTGTAACTGAATCATTACATCAAGTTCCTCAACAGTAACGGTTTCTAAACCGCCATTTTCTTCCATTGACAAGTGCGAACCCAATGACACAACTCGTTCTTGTTCATTTTCAAGTTCTATATCATTTAATCCAATATCAACCAAGTCCGAGTTTTTCGCGGTCTCGTCACACATTTCCAACGCTCTGCTACCACGTTCGATAAAGATGCAAGAAGCAAGCTTTCAAATATCAAGAACATACATGAACCGTTATCCGCTATTGCCACTCAACGAATGAATAGGGAAAAGCTTGTTCGTGCAGTGTCTAACATACCTAAGAAGCCGCACCACAGAATACAATACATGTGATCATACATCGTTGCCACACACGCGGTGCGACTCGAGTAGCGGAGGCATGTTTAGAGGAAGAGTTTTACAACGTAAACTCGTAACAAATAATAGATAGATAGGTAGTATTAAAACTCTTTAATTTGTAGTTTGGAACATTGCGGACGAGTTCAAAGATAAGAACATGTTGATAATGAATTTGCGTACCTACTTAATGCAAGCTATAACATCTAGGTAAGAGTTAGTTATCTCTTAAGCTAGATATAGAGTATCTCATAACTTTCAATGTTTTAGCTGACATTCTCTCCATTGTTGTTTGTGTTTTGTGTTGTTGCAACAATATCGTCCACGAATATTTTCGGGTCAGAAATCCAATCCATTGTAAATCCAGAAGACCACGTCCAGTCAAAGTTTCGTCCAATTCTTGGGGTATTTCTGGGTCCGAATTTTTTATCAACGCAAAGTGTTTTAAATTTCTTCCATTCGGCTCTGCGTCCACGTCTGGTCGTATTATTAGTCCATTGGCGATGCCCATCCAGACAGTTATTAAAATAATAACTCATTGTCGTCATTGCGTCACGTCTACCAACGCCTTGATAGATAGTCCATAAAAACCAAGTCAATATTCCACTACATTGGTCGTCAACATTATTATTTTTTTGTTTATTTTGTAATATTTTTAGCTTATGTTTTATTTTTGGGTTTACTACCCGACTACACAATACTTGATAACCCATTATGCGGGGATCAATATATGTATATATATCGTCGCCGTTACTTCAATAAGTTGTATGTCAATAATGGCAAGTTGTGGGAAATCGAAAAAAACTGTTTCGATTTTTTGTGGTTAAACTATGATGTACTGTTGTGACATAAAAATAATCAGTTCCTATGACATTTTAAAATGACTTTGTTCTTGAATGCTAAATTCAATTAAGTAAAGAATTCGATTGACATAAGATGTTTTGTTTATTTTACTTGGTTACACAACGCTGACATAGGACTATTTTGTATTGATAACTGGGTTAGTTATAAATAAAAAATCATTGTTAATTCATAATCCTTTTCTCATAAGTAATATATTATAGACAGACATGTTATTTGTGACGCAAATTTTCGTAAAAAAATTGACAATCTCGTGGAAGATGTCTCTTTAATTCTTGCAAGTGCTCAAATTTTGATGCCTCGATTGGACATGGCCCATCGTAAAGGGGAACTCTTGCGAAACTGCCGTTTGGTACACGTCTTTGCCGATGAGGTATTTCTTTCCAATCTTCAGAAAATTTCAATTTATAGTTAATAGTTCCGTCTGTTGTATACTGTAGGGCACAAATGTCTACTACCATAGGATCTCCCGTTTTTCTTCCAGGTCTGATACTTGAATAAAATGTAGATTCAAAATGAAAGAAATCTGTATGTTCGAGAGATACAGTGATGTAAGGTGACGGTGTTTGCCGTGCTCCTTCTATAACACGTAAGTAATAATCACTTGGTAACTTTATTTCCTTTCTACGACCTAACCTTCTTTCGATTGTGCTGTGAACGGAATCTACTTCCATTTGAGTGTGTCCGGACTCAAGGTACTTTTGCTCTATTGTGACAGCCCACTCCTTAGCAATGTTCACAATGGCATTAGATAACTTTGTGTTTCGATTTTGATAGCAGCAGCCATCGCTCCAAATTACAATTTTGGATGGACTGTTTTTCTCAATTTCTGCGTTGAGAAATTTCGTTGCGATGGACGCAAACACGTCACTCTCTAAACCACCTTCTCCTTCGTGCCATATAAAACAAGTAACTGTTTTATCTTTCAAACTGTAAAAGGTCCAATTGTGGACCTTCAATTTAGTTTTAAAATAGTTTGTAGACACATTTAAGCGAGGTGCTAGCAAAACTGCTTGTAGATCTACTACGTAAGCAAACACTTTTTCGTCCATATTACATTCATTTTTATCTCTCTCTTTTTCTTCTCTTGCCTCATTCTTTATTATCAAATGCACGTGGTAGTTGTTTTTTGGTATTGAACCACTTTTGTACAGAGAACAAGTATTGCATTGATCTTTCTTGGGACTCCATATGTCCAAATTTAATTTTTTTAAAACTTTCCAAAATGTAGCCCAGGAAGCCACCGTCTTGTGTTCTTCTTGACATTTTTGTTGATATACTCGGTGTACATGTCTGTAACTATCCCATATTGGCTCCAAGTATAGTTTTGTGGACGACGCTCTGCAATAATGGGATTCCACTTTAGGTAATCCAGTAAGAAAGTCTTCAACTCCCTTTGTAAAAGGACTTTCATTTCTTTGAACCACTTCACCAGAATTTCCTTCGTTTTCTTTCTTGTTCTCAGACTGGTTTCCCAAAATCCAATTTTGGACAGTCTTTTCTCCAATATTCAAAGTACCCAGAAACATTCTTTTACAGACAACCACCTTTGATTTTGTTTCTTTGCGAGTTTCTTCTTCTTCGTCATTCACAGTTAAATAATAGCTAAAGCTTCTCATTTTCTTATCGCTTAAGGTATCTTTTCGTCTATACTTTGGCGTCACTGGTAAAACGTGACCCATAACAAAGGATTTTTTAGCTTCCCATGAACTTAAGGCCCAAAATGAAGTAAATACATGTTCCATTTGACTATTAGATACGTCTGAACATTTAAATCCTTGGCGTGGTCCACCTTTTCCAGATTTGGCTTGGTGGCCAGAGCATTTTGGTCCTAATTTGCGTTCTGATTTGACTGCTGTTTGGCGATACTTGCCATTGATGTCCTTCTCGAAGCCGGTGTAAGATTTTCCGTGTACTCGCAATTTAGCGTTTTTAATCCGCTTCCATAATTTTGGATCAGCTTGTCCTTTAGATTTTCTTTTGCTGCCCTTGCGACCATCAACTTCTGTCTCTACAACGTCATGTACTTCATTATCTACGTCAATTAGGTTCTCTTTATTTGTATGACTTTCAGTTTCTGACGGCACGTATTCCGAACCAGAATCTTCAAGCCACGATTCAGAAGGAGATAAATTCTCATTGTTATTATCATAAAAATCTCTGCTTGATTCATCAGGTAATTCTTTCGTAGTGAGATTAAGAGATGGTAATTGCACCGATTCAGTTGATTTAGCAGGCGGCAGATCTTTATTATTTAATTCACCAGAAGACTCATTTAATGTATCTAAATTATTTTCGCGTAAATTAGACTGAACTGCATTCGATCGCAAAGCAAGTTGCAAAATTCGATTGCCTCTGCTTTTACTACCACCTGCTGACATATTGATTATTTAGTGTTATTCTTAATCCAACTGAAACAAAGAAAAACAAAAATAAAATGCAATTCGTCATGTCAACTTTGTTACAATTTGATAGCTGCAATATATCATATGTCAAACTCGAAATTGTTGAGCAAAGATTAGATAATTAAATATCGATCAATGGTAATAGAAACTATCAATAACATTGGGATATTTACTTGTAATTTACTTTTTAATGAAGTTTTCATGCATTCTGTGAATATAACTTCAAAACCATTCATGAATTTTAGGTTAGATTTACTAAATCAATCTTATAATTACCAGTTTTATTCCTAATTGCATTTAGTTAGGTTACACTTAAAAAATAGTTTGTTTCAAAACAGTTCACACGATAATTACTTGTAAGATGTTACAAACATCAGCAAAAACAACGCTGCACTGGCTCGTGAACACAAAAAGTTGACATACGACTATTTGCATGAACCAAAACGATCTAGAAGGTGACAAAAGAGGTTTTCACAAGAGCGCAGTATCCCTTTCTCGCTAACGATAGACATGAGAGGTTTTGCTATAATGTGAAAGTTGCTATTTTGGTTGCAACAGCGTTGATAACTCTAAATGCTAATTTTTTGACATACGACCTATTGCAGTAACAGCGACGATATATAAAATAACTAATATAAAGCAAACTAACAACTTATCAAAATTAAATTAACTGTGTTACGACCCCTCTTTGCAAAACGTACACCAACGACAAGATACGCGCGCCATCCCACGCGCAAACACAAGTAACAGGTGCTCGCGCACCTGTTTCTTCAACCCCAACGGCAGACACCCCCACACGCGTCACGCGCAGTAGCCAACAGAGGGCGCAACTGGGAACGCCGACCACCGCAAACACGACCACTACGAAATAATGCCGTCGAGGAACATCTCAACGGCAAGGAGGGTAGCAACGGGAGCAAGTCTAGACCACTCTTTACTAACGCCCCGGGTCTCTACCTTACTAACGCCTTCAAGTGCTGGTACATTTTCTCGTAAAATTGCCACTTCGAACGGTGACATAGGAGAGACTGCTTCCTCCAGCTGTGCCAGCGCGACCGCCGGTTCTCTCGTGTTCGGATTCTAACGTGTGTTGTACATTTTTACTGATAATGCTTAGGATAGTTGTATATATATTTCTCATAGTGTGCAATAAACTCTGTTTCCACTTGTACGTTATATATTCGGGCTACCGACGCCATCAGCACCTACACCCCCGCAACAACTGGCGCCCAACGTGGGGCCACGAGACAACACGACGCCGCCTACCACAAGAAGCACCACCAGGAAGATAGAAGGATCGAACGCCACCCCACTCGTCATGACGGCCGACATGCTGAAGGAGCTGATCCAGTCTCTAAGCACACCCCGACCACCAAGCACCGGCGGATCCTTTGCGAAGTGTACCGCCAGGTTCGACGGGAAAGGCGACGCGCAAGCTTTTGTGGATAACATCACGACGTACAAGGACTGCACGGCGATTTCCGAAGAGAACGCCCTAACAGGTATGTCAATGTTGTTAGACAAGGACGCCGCGACCTGGTGGCAAGGGGTAAAGCGCACCGTCACATCGTGAAACGATGCCACCACCCTTCTGTTGAAGACTTTCGGGCCGCAGAAACCACCCCACAAGCTACTTCGCGAGCTATTCGAGACAGAACAGGGACCCAGCGATCCAACCATGCTGTTCATCTCCAAAAAACGGGCCATCCTATCTCGAATAGAGGACGAGATCAGCGAGGCTGTCCAACTTCATATGGTGTACGGCTTACTTACTACACCGACGGATCCGGAAAAAGATCACCCGCACGTCTTTCGACACCTTCGAGGACCTCCATCGCGAGCTTCGAAAGATCGAAGATGACAGTCGTGTTTGCGGTGGTCGACGTTCCCAGTTGCGCCCTCTGTTGGCTACTGCGCGTGACGCGTGTGGGGGTGTCTGCCGTTGGAGTTGGAACAGGTGTGCGAGCACCTGTTACTTGTGTTTGCGCGTGGGATGGCGCGCGTATCTTGTCGTTGGTGTACGTTTTGCAAAGAGAGGTCGTAACAACTGATTAATATATAACTTACTTCTAAAAATATTATAATATTTAATTAATGATATAATGTACTAAGCCTTATATCGTAGCCTTGTCTTAACAACAAAATACTCTCTGCAAAGAGCGTGTTCTAGCAATCTCAAATAAACAACAAATCAATTTTAAGCTCAAAGAAAATCACCTACAGAGTATTAAACTCTTAAGTAAGAACTAGATTCTTATTTAGAGTTTAATACTCTGTAGGTGATTTTCTTTGAGCTTAAAATAAAACGGCCCCCCGGGTCAAATGGACCGTCTATATTTTTCACGTGCCTTATACAAATCCTCAATTCTGCATAAAAAAATAAATTCAGTACAACTACCGCCATCTATTAAATAATTTGTAAAAGTGTGCGTTTGTGAAATCAGTCCCTGTACCTTAACCTATAAAACAGCGTGTTTTATTGTAACTTTTGTGTGTGACAAATTTGCGCAAATAGGCTGTTGAAATAAATGTAAGAGTAAAATTTTGTATGGCTTTTAAAGCTGATGTTTTTCTTCATATTTTGATTGTGTTGCCATTGCTTTTAAAAATTTGGATTTCTGAATCAAAATTAATTTAAAAATTTGTTGCTACTGGGGGTAAAATGGTCCCTCTTAGTTGAGGTAAAATGGTTCCGGCGTCCATTTTACCTCATTTTTTGTCGCAGTAAATTTATAATGGCATAATTTAATTTTATGCGTTCCTTCCTACAGAATGGTAAGGAATTACTTACGAAAAACCACAAGACAGCAGTGGACTGCAGATTCAATGCAGCTTGCGCTCCAAGACATTTCTAAGGGCATGTCTTTTAAAAGAGCTGCTAGGATTTATGATTTGCCACTAACTACTTTGAAAAGAAGAGCAAAAAATCAAAATAAACTGGTAAGAAAATAATTTAAAGGATTTTTTTCAGCGTATCTCAAACAAGTCCTTCTAATTTGGAGATTCTGTGGTTGGAATCGAATCCCGGAAAAATGATTACCCTCTATAACATTTCTAGCTTATTCGGAAAAGCTTATAGAAAAGCAGCCACTCTCAATAATGGACTAATTGCCGTTTGCATCGACAAATTTAGGCGGAGCTTAGCTTAAGCGTAGCTTAAAATCCATGGCAACCATTGTCTCAATAAATCGTTGCCATGGATTTTAAGCGACGCTTAAGCTAAGCTCCGTTTAAATTTGTCGGTGCAAACGGGCATAAGTGGATTTGAAAGTGCGGGAATCTGTCCCTTTAATCCGAATATATTCCCAGATTGGAAATTCAAACAATCCAGCACATCAGATCGCCCTCTAGTGGTAGGTAATATCGATTGTGTCGTTCAGCGTGAACAAAGAACTCCTCCATTGCCTACCACATCTCGTGCAGAAGGATGGAAAAGAAAAGGTAGCAGTGAATTTTCATCTGATGAAGAAGAGGAATGGGAGGCAAGCGGTCGATCTTCAGATGAAGTGAGTCTTTTTTCGGACACTGTGGAGAATTTACCTATGGAAAATGTTTCTTCAATCCCTGATAGTATCGCTGAAGAACCCAAAATTCTGAAATCCTACCTTTGGTAATTCCATTTGACATTTCGCCACCACCTGTGGCACCTCCCCAAACTAGAAGTTCAAGACCTTCTCAAGGGGCAACTGTCTTTACTTCCACGCCAAACTATATTGCACTAAAAGAAAAATCAAAACCATCTAAACCACCCTCCCAAGCAGCTAAAAAGGCTGTAACGAAAAACCTATTTTCAAAAAAGAAAGGAAAAAAAGAAACAAGTGTTCAGGAAGCTAACACTGCTTGCATGTTTTGTGAAGAATTGTTCAATCTCGGTCGAAAGAGATTTGGATCCAATGCATTCTATGCCGAAAATGGTGTCATTTACTGTGCGCATCTGTTACTGGGAAGCAGAAAGTGTACACTTGCGATTTTTGTAAGTAACAATCATTCAACGTTTGTGTTACAGTAGGGACCATTTTACCCACTTACGGAGTCCATTTTAGGGTAGACCGGGGTCAGCAGAAACAGGGCACGGTTCAAACAGCGCTAGTAATTCAAAAACTAATATCATATCGGGGCGCGCGCAAGGAGTAGGAGACGCTGCTTATGTGTCGGAACCAATCGTGAGAAAATGGTGCCACTTCGAGCGTAATCATATCGTGTCAAAGTAGTGGTTGTATTTTGGTGTGCAAAAGTAAGTATTTTTGCTGCTGTTCTTTTTATTTTTATTCCCAAACTGTACCAGTTACAGTTTTATGTAAGAACTTTGATTATTGGAGTTCTTTTTTATCTTAAGTTGTATATTTTCCAAGTTACGAGGACAAATTTTCTAAATGGACACTCGGGGCCGGTTGTAACAAATTTTGCCGGGTCGGTTGAAACGTTTCAACTAACCCCGTTTCAACCGACCCCATAGACATTTCAAAGCGGTTAAAAATTGTGTTTTGTATTTTTAGATGCCTCGAAAACGTGTAAAAAAGACAAATAAAGGACAGAGTAGTATAGCACAGTATTTGGAAGCCTATGAAGAAGTGAAAAATGGCATGTCTCTTAGAAAAGCCGCTGATAAATACACTTTAAATCACGTATCCCTCCTACGATATAAAAGAAAACGAGAGGCTAATGGAGATGACAGTGGAGCATCAACTTCCATGGGCTACGTAGCTCATAATAGAGTCTTCGCGGACGCACAAGAGAAGACTAGCGGAATATTTGATGTTATGTGCTGACATTTATTTTGGTCTACCCCCAAAAGAAGTGAGAAAGCTAAGTTACGAATTAACATTAAAGTACAACCTAAAACGGCCAAGTTCCTGGGATGAAAACCAAATGGCCAGAGAGGATTGGTTTAGTGCTTTTATGCGTAGAAATACGGAACTTTCATTAAGGGCTGCTCAAGCCACAAGTTTGTCCAGGGCGACTAGTTTTAATCGAACGAACGTGGATGCGTTTTACGACAATTTACAAAAAGTTATGGACTGTGATAGTTTCGAGCCACAAGACATTTTAATATGGACGAAACAGGCGTGACTACCGTCCAGCGTCCTGACAGAGTGTTTGCCAGACGCGGCATTCGTAAAGTTGGATCGGTCACTTCAGCAGAGCGTGGTACACTCGTTACGATTGCTTTCGCCGCGAATGCCATAGGAAACGTTATACCACCTCTATTTGTATTTCCGCGTGTTCGGTACCAAGACCATTTCATAAGAGATGGCCCATTAAGTGCAGTGGGAACAGCAAATCCTTCAGGATGGATGCAAGACGAAGGTTTCATGCTGTTTTTGAAACAGTTTCAGAAACACACAAACTGTTCAGTTAACCAGAAAGCGCTATTAGTATTAGACAATCATTCGTCCCATGTTCATATCAACGCATTGGATTTCTGGAAGAAAGCGTTCAAGAAAGCACCACCTTTCAATTTCTTCAGCCTTCTCTACCTGCACCAATAAATCCTACACCACATGATAATTCAATCACAAATAGTAGAACAGATTCGCCGAAACTATCTACGAGTGATGAAGTCTTTTCACCCCACATAGTAAAACCCTACCCCAAAGCTCCACCCAGACAAACAGAAAACAAGGGAAGGAAAAAGAGAAAATCTACGATATATACAGATACACCGGAGAAAGAAGCAATACAAAAAGAAGCGGAGGAAAGAGAACGAAAAAAAAGGGAGAAAGAAATGAAAGTCAATAGAAGCCTTAAATCAAAATGTTCTAAGCCCAAAGGAAATAAAAAGATGAAAACATCTAATAAACCCAAAGTGTTTTCTGATGAGGATGAAGAAGAGTATTACTGTTTGGTCTGCATGAAAAGTTATGGCACCAGCAGGCCAGGAGAGGATTGGTTGCAATGCACCGGTTGTAAAATGTGGGCTCACGAGGCCTGCACAGCTGGTGATCCTTTTTATTTGTGCCACAATTGTGAATCTGATTAGTATTAATTAGCTGTGCCTTGGCATTAATAAATGACTATATTATGTGATTTTTTTATGATTTACTCCTAATACCTATATTACCACATAATTCTATTTACTCTTGGGAGTGTTACAACCAACCCCAATCACTGTTACAACCGTCTCGGGCATGGTGCCGGTTGAAACATTTTCAACGATTTTTGCAAACGCTTATAAATGGTTTTTCTAATTCTGATAAAGCCATTATAACATCATATATCTATTAGTAGGGGAGCTAGCACGAAATCCACTGAACGAGAATGATCAAAATTTTAACCGATGGAGTTCCATTTTGTCCTATCAGAGTATTAGATCGTCGATCGTCTGCCGCTTCTTGTGGTACCAATTCTGAAAGGTTGTTTTTCGAGAAAATAAGTTATACACCAAATGAAAACGTTGATAATAGCTCTTAAAAAAATATTGAAAAAAATCGCGCGCATTTGATAACTCCGTAAAAAAACAATTCTTAGTCGGTTTTTCACGAACTTTCTATCCATCCATCATTATCCATGTAACAGAGACTTCGCATTAAATCTGGCCAATGAAATTACTAGATTACTAACTTGTAAAATTTTTACACGTCAGCTGTCAGTTTTACAAGTCAGTAGCGTTTAAAGATGACGTTTACCCGTTTGCGTTTTGTCTTGTTAATCAACGTTTACAACTGAGTAACAAATAAATATAAGGAAGAAGGTCGTCTTTTTGCGAAAGTGGCTTTTGTAAATGATTTTAAGTAATGACGAGCAACCGCTCTTACAAAAGTAAGTAGATCCATTTTATCCGTATGGGCCAGCAGGTGTAGTCTTCATGCATTTACCGCAGCGACATTTACGGAATGCGTGAAGAGGGACCACCACCACTTCTTTCCGCGTATCGCCACTCTATAGTTGCTAACTGCTTGGTCCAACAAGTCAACCCCACCCATACATGAATTATAGCTTGAAAATAAATGTGGCTGTGGAACGTCTATTTTCTGCTTGGCAACCGAAGACTAACGTTTTACTGTTTCCAGGGGTTCCACAGTGTCGTAGTTTGTTACCATTGTAACAACGCTATTGTCTTTCCAACGAACAAACAGTAGATTATTTTTCATATCGTACATTTTTTCAAAAACGCCACGTTCCATTTTTTGCATCTGCTTCACCGAGGACAAAGGACATTTTTTAGTCCGATTTTCACGCACGGTCCCAGTTGCTCGAATCTTCATACCTTTCAGTGTTTTCATGAGATTATAACTGGAGAAAAAATTATCACAAAACATAATATGATCTGATGGTTGATCTACACATTGGAGCAATTCTAAAACGACTCTAGAACCTAATGGCAAAGAGTTATTGCCTGCATTGCCTACTTTTGCACCACAGTAAGTGTCATATTTATAGCAGTAGCCTGTAGAACTACATATCATCCAATTCTTAAACCCAAACCTTACAGGTTTTCCTCTTATAAACTGCTTCCCAGAATGGTGTTCAAAATATTTAACCATCGCCTCATCTATTGAAAAGTTTTGATGCAAGATTCCCCATTGACGAAAATTTTCGTTTAGCAGGTTCATGAGAGGGCGCAACTTATACATTTTATCAGTCTTATCTAGTTTGCTGTTATCTGCAATGTGCAAAAACCTCTTGATTTCTTGAAATCTGTTTCTCGAAATACTAGATGCCACAAAGGGTACAGAAACATCTTCATCATCGCTCCAATACATAGGTTCTCTGGGTAATCGGTGATAGCCAGAAAGCAGTAACACACCTAAAAACGTTTTTATTTCGTCACCTGATACGGAAAATCCATGTCGATTTTTTTGTAGTGCATAAATGTTTGATTGTTCAACAATCAGCTTTATAACCTTATCATCAAACATTCTTTCGAAAGTCTGCACTGGATTATCGTTCTTCACGGCTTCCACCATTTTTTCCATTCGCGCTTCGTAGCCTGTCGTTCTCTCAGTCATACTTATATCCGTAAAGGTTTTTGTCCACTTCGGTGTTTCTTCTGCGATTTTTGACGATTTACTTTTCTTGGGAAATAGTATTGATAGCGGCACATTGTCATCGCTGTCTTCCTCTTCACCAGATGGAATTTCATCACTCGATTCGTCATCTGTTGGATAATGGAGTTCTACTTTTCCAGGAACATCATTCGGGAGATTAGAATTAGCCATATCGTTATCATCATACTCTTCCTCGTCCGTCTGCGGATCAACATCAGGCGGAAGGATAACAATCTCCGACTCCTGATTTCTAGAGGAAACCTTCTATTGCTTCCGCTAATGTATTGAACCGTTTTCCGTAGAAACACTTCGAACTAATTGTCGGTAATGTAAAATCCATTTAAAATCAATTCCTGCAAAAATTCTGAATTTTTATGTGTATCTTTCCCATTGTACTCAAATGGGTACGGCGCCATTTTTATACATTTTTTAACACAAAATAATGTTAAGTAATGTTAAGTATGGATAAAACGTCGTTAAATACATACCTCAAAACCTAATATCGGACGCACAGTGAAATTTTGTAATGTTTAGATGGTTAAATAAAATTTCAAAAACACGCTAACGGTTACAAACTGTTTATACAACTATAATACTGGAGAATTCCAACAAATGCCACATATATGTGGTAAAGCTTGAAACACAAGTTCACAAACTATTACAGATTACTACAATAACCATAATTTGGTCGAAAATGATCACAGAGGACGCCGGGGCGCATAATTATACGGTGTATTTAAATGAGTACAGTGGGAGGTAATGGGTTAACACAAAATCAAAGTGTAGGAAATTTTGTTTGCTTTAATTTTGTGTAGAACGCGGATCTTAAAAAAAAGTGTAGTTTTTAAGATATAAACAAACAACTAAAAAAGTTCTGAAAAATTCCGATTTTTTGCGTTTTTCGCTATGAAGCCGATCTCCCATAAGGCAGCAAACCATAAATTTAGATTCAGCACCCTCGAAAACATATATTACCGTTGAGAAAAAAACTTCCGCAATTTTGTTTTGGAAAAATCATCATTTGACTGGGCTAAGGTTCTATTGAAGTATTAAGACATGGTGTTGGTAGGCCACGTAAGGTCAGTTCAAGAATACGATCGGATTTGTAAAGCTGGTCGTCGAGCTGCTTACTGTCCGAGACATAACAGCAAAATGGAATGAAGAAACAGCTGAAAATGTTTCACGAGAAACTTGTCGGAAGTGGATTCATAAGTCTGGATTACATTTTTATAAGGTATGTGGCGTTAAGAGCATATTTAGTCATATTTATTCAGCTCATCTCTTAACAAGTTAATAATGCCACAGCAAGATGACAAAGAGTACAGCCGTACCTCCTAGTCGAAAGAACTATAAAGATCGCATACGGTTTTTTATAGTAAAGACAGTGCATCTAACTCGTGAGAGTGCGAAACGATCTTTCGATCTACTTATTCAAAATGTTCCATGTGATTAACGCCAACTACGCCACCATTCAAGTACATAATTATATACATCGCTGCAAAAATGTGCCTATGAAATTAATTTACCATTTAACAAAGTTATACCTTATGTTTGTGTTGTGTGCGTGCAATATGGGTAGTAGAATATTGCTTTCATTTAGAATATTCGCATATTTCCAATCATTAACGTCCTGTTAACAATTGTAATAGACTATACCACGGGAAACAAGATTTTCAAACACATTACTCCTTGAAACATACAAATGTAACCGAGAGCTCGTTTTCCAATTTTCCAGTCCTGTAGTTCATTTCACCACCAAATACTACAATATCACCTAATACCAAAGAGAATAGTAAGATTCACCATCAGACAGAATAAATGTAAACAAAACCAATGTACGTTCTTGGATATTTAACTGACTTCCACGTGAAATAAAAACCGCTAACATTCTCTATTTTCAAGCGAAAACTAAAAAACTATCTTCTTTGTAAAAATCTGTTAACTGCACCTCTCCGGCGATAAGAAACCTGATCTACGACTGGAGAAAAACATGAGATAAACTTTTACAAATACAACGCAAATAATTTCCAGATGTGTCCAATCCCAGCTCCAATTTAAATAATACAATAAACAAATACTAACGATCTAACGAACTCGTAATACAAAAACAAACCCGAATTCAGATTTAAATGAACGATCAAAATTGTATTTAAATCAAATTACGACCACACTTCACTTCTAAAGTTGACGTAGTTCTCATACCTCGAGGGCAATTGCAATTGCAATTGGCACTATTGACCACAAATGGGGAGTGTATGTAGATAAAGTCAATCACAGGACTACTCTAGATCGAATAAATGAAACGAAAATAATGCACAACGATAATTTGTGGTAAAAAATAAACATGGAAAATCGTATTTAACTTGAACTTCCAAAGCCGACTTGACAGCAACTCATTTTTGATCGCCAGTTATAATCTATTCTGCAACTCTTGTCGAACCTTTTCAAATGTTGGTTTTGCAATATTTCGACATTCTTGAATTATTCTCTGTCTTAGTTCGTCTATGTTCGCCGGTTGCGTTTTAAATACGACAGATTTCAAATGTATCATATTAGTTTATTTTTTGATTTGCACAATAATTACTAACCTAAATATAATGCTATTTGGTATGGTTGGAAAGCATTTTTTCAGAGCTTTCCAACGACGTATCACACATGGGGGGTCACTATTTAAGATTTAAAAGTTGGGGTGGCTGGGGCGCAGGGGGTTGGAGGGGGTGCGTCGCCAACTATGTCATTGTGATTCCCCCTCCGAATTACCGAAACTGATTTTGATTTTTTTAAATATCTCGTTTATTTACTAAGATATGGGGGGTGGTAAGTTTTCAAATTGTCACCCTGTATATATATAAAAGTAATATATATATAACTTTTATTAAATTTTTTTACTACTTATATTTAATTGGAACGATAGTACGAAAAATAACTCTGCACATAGGATTTCGTTACATTTTATATTTTCGACATCTGCCACGGTAATGCACCGTCAGCGCTAACAAAATAATCTGAAGTGAGGTCTCTTAAATCGTTGGCACGTCTTCCTCCCCGAGGTGGTGCAATTTGGCGTAAATCCTGGAGTCCTTTGTCACTTTGTTTCAGAACTTATGATTATGGAGAAATGGAAGAACATAAGGGCTGCGTTTAATAAATCTTTGAAAAAGACAACTGGAGATTCAGCAAAAAAGAAATACTTATACCATGATAATTTATTGTTCATGTTAAGTATTAAAAGATAGCACCGAATCTAGCTGGGTAGAGGATACTTCGCTAGTTAATGATGATGATGATGGCGTTTCTGAAGAAATGCAAAGGAAGGAGGAGAGCTTTCAGAAGAATTAAGAAATGGTAAGGTTATGGAAGGTCAAGAATTAAACAGCGAAAGAAAAGAGCAAAGACATTAGCTGATACTGAGGTGAACTTCCTCCAGATGAGGATGAGTTATTTTTCAAATCGTTGTTGCCTACTGTAAGAACACTGAACGTGGATGAAAAATTAGAATTTCGCATGGAAGTCCTTAGCATCGTTCACAAAATAAGCCAAAAAAAAACGAAATCAACGGTATTATCATCCGCCATTACCGTCGCCACAGCCATCACTTCATTCAAATTCCAGGCAATCAAATTATGATTCTTCTTCTCCCCAGTATGTGTAATCATAGCCCATCAGGACCTGTTGGTTTTCCTCAACAAACATACACGCAACTTCGAGGCATTAATGGTTTGTTGGAATAATTTCAATAATTACTATATAATTAGATAATTATACTATGTAGTTTTGAAAATACACATTTATTGTATTTTGAAGACATATACAATCTCTTAATCGGTCAACTAAATAACCAAACGTCTCTTTACTCATGCGAAAATAATTAAAGAATTTTCCAGGGGTTTCTCTAAGTTTTTCAAATAATGTACAGGGTGACTTACGGGAGACGGATGTTTTTGAAATGGCTAGTGCATGCCTTCGTTAAGTGGTGGGGCGACGGACGGTAGGTCATTCACTCCATTGCAGCTTACCATTTCAGTAGCAATGGAGCAGTGGACGACGGAGCATCGTGTTTTTGCGTACGATACGTTTGTTCGAAATGGCGAGTCTGTTATAACCACACAACGAATATTTCGTCGCCACTTCAATATCGGTCGGAACGGCACAGTGCCAAGTCGAGACACTTTGTTAAGGTGAGTTAAGGCATTCAGAACAACGGGGACAATATCCAAGAAAAAGCTACCAGGCCCTGCAAGAACAGAAAGGACGCCTGAAAACATCGCCAGTGTGAGGGCTGCAATAATCAGGAGTCCGAGTCGATCTGCACGCCAACATGCACGAGAACTAAACATGAGTCGTGATTCTGTGAGGAGGATTTTACGACTTGATTTGAAATTTCATCCGTATAACATGCAGGTGGTCCAGCAACTCAACGTGGCGGATTATCAACAAAGAAAAGAATTCGCAGAGCGTATGCAACTGTTGTTTAATGGTAATCGTAATGCAGTACTGTTAATGAGCGACGAAGTCCATTTTCATTTGAACGGTTTGGTAAACAAACATAACTTTCGTTACTGGGCTACTGAAAATCCCTGTAACATTCATGAAAAACCTCTCCACTCTCCAAAAGTTACAGTTTGGTGTGCGGTAGCCAAGTTTGGAGTTATTGGGGCGTATTTTTTTCAGGAAAATGGCGTGACGGTGACAGTGACATCACAACGCTACGTTCACATGTTGAATACATTTTTGAGGCCATACCTTCAGAGGCAAGGATTCAACGTGAATAATGTTTATTTCCAGCAAGATGGCGCCACGGCGCACACTGCTCGCGCATCAATGGAAGTTGTGAGAAACATGTTTCCTGGAAAGCTGATTTCACGTTTTGGTGACGTACCGTGGCCGCCAAGGTCACCGGACTTGTCCTACTGTGATTACTTCTTGTGGGGGTATTTGAAAGAACGTGTGTATGCTCACAAACCCCGTAATTTATTGGACTTAAAAGACGCAATTACAGAAGAGGTGAATTTGATTGATCAAGACATGTTGACCCGAGTTTCCAATGATTTTCAACAGAGGCTGGAAACCTGTATTGAAGCAGATGGGCACCACATGACTGATGTAATTTTTAAAAAGTAACTTTTTCATGAAATGGTATGTAATAATCTTTATTTGTGTAACAATAAAATAATAGTATCTTGTAAATTAATTGTGTACTGCTCATTTCAAAAACATCCGTTTCCCGTAAGTCACCCTGTATAAAACGTCCCTTCCACATATCTGACCCTCAAAATGGGATGGACCCAATATTGCCTTAGAGTCTGGATAGCTTGCCTTCTTCGGCGCCTACGTAAAACCATCGCTAGTAAAATTAATTTCCTTCGATCCATCACTTCGAAGCTTACAGCACCAACTGACTAAAATCAATCTGGCAACACGGAATATTAATCTAAACTGATTCGCAAGTGGGCGAGCACTCAGCGGATGCGGCGTCAAATTGTGCCGTTACCGTCTTGTGGCCAAACGCCCTTAAAGTACCAGTGCGCGCAACTGAGTGAGTGGTTTCGCCACAGTTTCGTTAAAAGGTACAACCAGGAGCTCAATCTGCTCAACGCAAAGGAGACGGCATCGGCATCAAAAAGGTAGGCGCTCCACATTTTTGTAAACGGGCTCAAGTGCGTTTATAGACTCAGTGGTCTATTCCGTTTTGACATTACGACAGTAGAGTGTACACTCATTTGCCTCTCTTCTTTTTCTTGTGTAGGCAGGGTGTCTTAAATTATTGTAAATTTTATAGTAGCATTAATTTTATTGTAGGTAATATATGTTAGTTCGAGTTAGATTTATTATTAATTATTAGCCCACTGGTCCTGTTTGAGATCTTGGATCGATCTCCGACTTCGAACGAAGGATCAGGTTGTTTCGTAACCAACGATAATAATTTTATTGAATTTGAATAACAAGAATAATTAAATTAAAATATGTATAAACTTAAATTTATCACGTTAAGGCTCTGCTGCAGTGAAAATTATCATTCAAATTTTCGAAAAAAACAAGTCGCATACGATGTCGAGACAATAAGTGATACTGGAAAAAATAAGTAAAAAAATCGACGTAGTTTCATTCGGCCTTAAAAAATTATTGTATGCTAAAGTAATCAAATCGTTCTTAGCGCATAACTTTGGATCCAGTAAAGATATTGGGGTCAAAATTTTGGAATAGACTTTACTTAACTAACCACATGCCTCTGTGTCTCCAATTTTATAAAATTTTATCTGCGTTCCTAAAAATTGCTTTGCAAACTTTCGTGTAATTACAGAATTTAATACCACACAGTAGTAAAGTGAAAAGCGAAACTCGACACGGTAAGGCATAGGCAATTGTAGAGAGAATGTTGGACAATTTTACCTTTTATTAAATTTTTATAAACAAAGGAGATCTGAGCAAATTAATAAAATCAACACGCCCCTCAAGAAAACCCACCTCTAGTGTTGATAAAAGTATTCAATACAGCCAATCGGGGAATTTTAGCGATAATTTATACCAACACCATTTTATATTTTTCATTAAAATTATATATTCGTATAACAGCATCAAATAGTTACTCTTAAATTGTAAATAAACACAATCTCAATTTCTAAAGATATTTTTTTTATTTATATCTATCTACCTCACATTATCAATAGATAATGCGGTGTGATTAATTATATGATTATACCTATGGCACAGATTAAAATCTGTACCTATGGTTACTTTCATCCAACACAAATAAATAGACTTATAGAACAAATTTTTTCCTCATATGTATAGTAATTCAACACTGTTGGCATGTAATGTACCTAATCTAACAATTTACAATTGTTGATTAGGCACGTTGTTATAAATCTACGGGCCGCCTTTTTTTAGCGCATTTTCGTAAAAATACAAAAATGTCTGGCCACTTTGTTCGCCAGTCTATCCGTTTGTCTGTCCGCCCGCCCGTCTGTCTGTCTGCCCTTACGGCTGTATCGCTACTATATGCTTATCTTAAGTTCTACTTTTTAGCACATTTCCACAAAAATAAAAAATAAATGCGCTATTGTGGCCACTTTGTCCGTCGGTCCGCTCGTTCTATGTGACGCTACTAGTTCTTTATCTTAAGAGCTACCCTTTTTTACATGTTCCATAATTTTACACTTTTGCCGTTTATTAAGTTATTAACTGAATTGCATTAAATTCAATATGGGCATAGCTTTAGCCATATAATACGCAATGCCAAAAGTTGAGTCGAATCGATTCAAAATTCGCAGTGCCCTTTTCGGATCTCGACCATTTATAAACCGAATTGCAAACTTTTTTATTTATAAAAGTATTTGAATGAAATGTGATACAGAGGCACTTGGAATAAATGAAAATCAAACGCCAGTTTCAAAATTTGGTTTTGCGCATGCGCAGTGTCAACGTTTTTATTTATGGAAGCATTTAAATGAAATTTGATACATAGGTGCTTGGAATAAAGGAAAATCTAGCACCAGTTTCAAAATTTTATTTTGCGCATGCGCAGTGCTAACTTTTTTATTTAGAAAAGCATTGAAATGAAATTCTTCTTATAAACAAAAATTGAAGTAGCACGTCAAAAATGGATTGCCCATGTGCAACGCTATCTTTCATATTTGTTGCCGGAAGTGGAAATGCGCTTTATGTATATCGTTTACGATTATTTTTTAACTTGTTCGATATTTGGGTCGTTATGATGTCGAGACTTGCACCAAGGAAGGAATTTTTCTATACGTTTATTACTAAAAAGTCATAATAAAAAATCAATTTTTTTCATGTAGGTAGGTACCATAATTTTACACTTTTACCATTTATTGTAGGTACATATAAATTCCATATTCTAAGGCTACAAAATGCTTAGAAAATGAAATTGTAATGACGTGTCAAAGAATAGATTGTGCATGCGCAATGTTAACTTTCTTATTTGTGAACGGATTTTTCTGAAATTTTAAAAGATCTACTTATAT